TTGCATGTCTGTGGCGGGGCTTCATCTTCTCTTTGATTTTCTTCTCGTCTTCATCTTCTATTTTCTTCTTCTACTCTTCTTCTCTCCTCTCTGTGGTGGAGCACAAGCACACCTGGGGTGGGGCGGGCCAACAGATCCGGCAAGGACGACAATAGATCTAGCAAGGAGGGTAGCAAATCTAACAAGGAGGGCAGCAGATCTGTTTTCTCTATGGCTCTTCATCTTCCTCTTTTGTTGGCCCGATATGGTGAAAGTATATGAGGCGATGATTTGAGCTTTTTTGTTGATTGACGATTTCCGAAGCTCCGGCGAGCAAAGTCTCTATTGCAGATCTTGAATGCTGAGCGTTGACGACAATTTTGATTTCTTATTTTAGATTTTATTTGAGATTCATGTTTCTTTTAGAATGTGATTTTATTGTTGTAATTGCTTTTAAAATTCATTTTAGATTTTTTGTTTCTTTCATTATGTGATTTCATGATTATAGGACTAAATTTTTGTGGATGAATATGTGAGACACCAGATAATTTAATCCAAGGTGTCTTTGTTCATAGTCAATCCGAGAAGACATTGTTCGGTTGAGTAGCGGTAGAGGGTATTTTGGGAAAGTCAAAACATTTTTTCCACTTTCTTAAAAATGAGCTCCGGTCAAACCGGGAAGTTAATTATAGGACGGAGGGAGTATTTAATTTATATATTTTATTTTATATACAAAAATAATATTTGAAAAATTTAATTATCACATAATTAAAATGTCAATGTATATATTTTACATGTACGTCACACGTCCCATATAAATATATAATATTATTTTACTTCATTCCCTTTTAATATTCCACTCCGTTCAATTATTCTATGTGTGTGACTCTTCTAGGTATTTATAACGTTAGCAATAATATTAATTCATAATTAATATTATAAACGATAAGCGATATCTAGCAACACATTATCGCTACCCAAGTTATAAAGATAAAGTTTCTTGCAACTATACCTCCAACGACACATTACATTTGTACAACTCTTAGCCTTTTATCACTAATGCCTAGATTTAACACAAGGTATGAGAAGTGTAACCTTATTAGAGCTAAATCATTGGTTTACTGATTCTCAGATTGACTTGTGGGATTCAAATAACATTAATATCACAGATATTAATTTATCTGGGTATGGCCATACACTTCCCAAGTCATATCAATCAGTGGGCCCGAACACATTACACTTCATCACAATGGAAGGGATAAATTCTTTCTACGTCATTCATGCCTTTACATATGTTTAACTATATACTCAAAACATAACTGTATGTCCACCAGTATTTCAGATGGCATTAGATATGAATCAAAACATATAGGTCAACATATTAAAGATCATATTGACCTCAAGTCTAAGGATAGTTATACCAATGGTCGAATGAGAATACTACTAACACATTTAAAATAATATCCATGTAGTATTCTCATGGTGGGTCAGTTCAATACCATATCCCAGATATGTACCAATAGCTTATGAGACGTAGCTATCTTGTCATAATATTCGACTAAGGACATTTTAGACATAGCCTCTATTAATGTAACATCCTCATAATCAGAACATCGTAGTTCTAAATCTATGGACTAAATCCATGTTTAGATATACGAGATGTATAAACAATATTTAGGGCCTTTTATTCTTCATAAATATTCAGATACTTTTATACATTGGCCTTTAGGGCTCATATATCCAACAATCTCCCACTAGCACTAAGGCCAATTACCCATTTATCAAATGTGCATGGACAAAGTGTGACCCTCGTGTTTAGGCCATTCCAAAGCCTTGGTTAGTGGAATTGTTAAATTATTATCCGTACCTATTTTGTAATTTCTTACATGCTCGTTTAACGTGTAAACGTTCTAATGATACGTTTGGTATTCCCGATGAGACCATGATTCATTGGCTAGTGAAACGATTCCGTCGAATCATTCTACAATGATTCAGGATTCAAAACTACTATGAATTGTATTGAGTTCCACAATGAAACTCTGGGTCCAAACACTATACTCAGCAGCTTCAAAAGTTGTCATGTAATCTACCGTATCTTGAGAATATGACCATGACTCGTAGCTCTTCTAGCTCAAGGATCCGTCATACAATCCTCTTAACGGCTTAATTAACATCGCTAATGCCTTGGAAGCTAGCTTTAGTGTAATCTCGTACACTAAGCTCATCTTCCATACGCAATATCTCAAAGATATACTTTGTTCTTCACTGTTACATATGCGGGTATACTTTCACAATAAAGTATGTAGATCATTTGATCAATTTAGCATAAGACATATCATTTCTATAAATGGATAAACGATTTGTCCTTTATTCGAAAGAATAAAAATCATCAAACGTGATATGATGTCTTGCTAACATAAAACAAACAACAATCAATCCAATATTCGAAAATGGATCAAATGATAAAAACTAAAACATGACATTAGAATTGCAACACTTGCGTCCATCGGTCAATCATGTCCAGTTCCCCTCGAGCCAACCATCTACTTTTCTTCAGTCCTAGCAACTATTTGCATTTGTAAGTCCTGGAACTGGAAATCTTTACAGTTCCTCCTCTAGTGGCCTTGTTTGCCACAATGATGACATATGGAGTCTTTTGCTACTCCACCTTTTGTCTTATGGTTAGAAGAAGTGGATTCCGGCTTGGATTTACCTTTGCCTTTGTTTCCAAATTTCTTAAGTTTTTTCTTCTTACCCTTTCCGCCTTGAACAAGAAGGACGGAACTACCTTTTTCCTTTGTAAGGCTCTCTTCAGCAGTTTTTAACATCTTTAAGAGTTTGGGCAGGGGTTTATCAAACCCATGCGTCTCATAATTAATGACAAACTGCTTATACATTTCTGGCAACAATTGCAGAATAAGATCTGTTGCAAGTTTTTGTCACATTGAGAAACTCAATTTCTCAAGAGTCTCGACATAGCCGATCATATTGAGAACATGCAGAACGACAGGGTTTCAAACAGACAATTTGCAACTAAAGAGTACCTTAGAGATTTGGAATCTCTCATGCCTAGCTTGCCCTTGGTAGAGTTGCCTCAGGTGTAGGATCATATCGTACGCCTTCATGCTGTCATGATGCTTCTGAAGCTCAAACGTTATAATAGCTAGCACGACACACACCACTTTAATGTCATCATCAACGTGCTTGTCATATGCTTCTTTAATTGCTCTAGAAGTAGTAGCAGCAGGTTGAGGAGGAATGACCTTTTTCAACATACTCTTTCTTCTCAAGGCGAAGAACGATAGTGAGATTGCGTTGCCAGTCCAAGAAGTTGGACCCGATCAACTTGTCTTTGTCTAGGATTGCACACAAGGTGAGGTTGTGATTGTTACTGGTCATCTACATATAATGATTTGCAAAATAGTTATTATCAAGAATTAAGTAATTAATTAGGACTTTAATTAAAAATTCTCCCACTATTTTAAACAAACCAACCACCCTCTAGTCTGTAACTTGTTGATTCGAGGGTTCTTCTTGGAAAAAATACCTTAGTGGGCCAAAGTCCATATTACATTTAACTATTGTTATGATTTGCATCTTGCCCTATAATTGAACTAACTAGGTAGAACAATTTCCAATTGTAATCACTATTACAATCCTTAGTTTGCTAAGTTATTTTAAATAAAATTTTATTAAGGACTTAGATCCTTATTTTATCTAACAATATTTGTGCTTTGCATCTTTCCCGATGGTTAAACTATTTCAAGTATGAACTATTTCAAATTGCAACACTTTGAAACTCTGGCTGGATGAACTAATTTTATTTAATAACCTAACAATGTGCCTCTAAGTCATTCATCCTTTTACCATGACTTAGTTAAGTCCAACCCGAGGTCTGTCAGTATCCATTGTTACAGATTTTGCGCCTCACCAACGTAAACCGTGCGTTTCGCTACTGATCGAAATTGATTTGACGAGTGAGCAGGTGGCTGAAGGCACAGACTTAATATAACGAGGGATTTAAACATGGTCTCACCTATGACACGTGCCGCGCGCATGCACTATCGTATACATACATTCATACATAACATGCTTATATATAAATAAATAAATAAACGTGATATGGTTGTGGCTCCTAAAGAAAAACTAACGATAGCACCCTTTCTTGAGATCTCTATCTCCGACCCATCATCCTCCTTCTCTTTAGTAATTATTTGTTCATCAAAGCTCTCCGCCCATGCTGATCTTTTCTTGAATATAACAATTACATAATTTCGAAGAAAAGAATCGTTGCGTTACATGCAAGGAGTATGAGGTTCAAGAGAGAGATTTACATTCAGAGATAAAGAGATAAGGCACGACACACAGGCCGTATTTAATAATAATAATACTAAGCCACAACCATACTGTTAGAGTTCTGCCCTGATGGCCAACTGTTCATCGTTATCCTATCATGTATAGGCAGATATAATATGTTTACACATCTCATGATAATGTAAAAAAATATTATGTTCCTAGATTTATATTTAAAGATATTTATCAGATAGTGTTTTTCTGCTGATGAGACTAACTTCTTGAAATAAATATTTATCTAAATGTCCATAGTCGAGTATTAACGAGAGTAGGATATCGTTAATGCATGTGAGACTAGTGTGTGTTGGATGTTTGACTTAGTCTCATAGTCAATGACAGTGTGTTCGCATCCGCACATGGGCAAATATTTTCTGGAGATAATAGGATGCCGGACTGACCCATCCTAAAGATGTTGCTTGAACTTTTAGTTCATGCTCTAAGCATCTTTAGCGCGACCACGAGTGTAACTATCCTTCGACTTGAAGTATTATGTTTTCTGCATATGTGAACCCGCATACTTTGATGCATTGTCCTAAGCCATATGAAATAAGGATGGTATACAGGCTTTGTTTTGGGTATGCCGCAGCGCGTATTCAGAAACGTAGATTACGTACATAGGATTTGTCACTACTCTTTTTAAAAGAGATTAATGTCTTATGGGGCCCACTAATAAGTTATGATTGAGGAAATTGCATGGCCATGCTGAGATATTTTTATTACGTCTGTTCCTATTAGTCAAACTTGATAAATTAGTGAATGACTTAATGGATACAACGACCTAAAATAATTAGGGAACGTAATTCAGATCTGTAACTCTGTTTCCCTATGTCAATGTGCCTCAGACTCAGCACCTTTCCAAAACTGCCACGTTTGCAGAATTGAATATTAGACCCCCGTTATTACACAACGATCTATGGCGAATAACGAATATCATAACCACCAGAGCCAATACTGTGGCCAGCTTTATAAGTGCTTATACGGGTCACACACTTTGGACAATTTAAGGAGTAGGATTAAACAATGGGATAATAAGTAATTTGTATATTTGTAAAATAGTAAAATAAAATATTTTGGAATATAATATTATATATATAAATATTCGGTTATATATATTACATATATGTGCCGATTAACATATATATATTATATGTTGAATATTTTATTTTGGTTTGTCATTTTAATTATGAAAATAATTATTTTGACATAAAGTATTTAAAGTATATTTGTATACTTGTTTAAAATGATATTGGTATTTTTATTTGATTTAAAATTAATTTTATATTAGATTTTGGTGTCAAATAAAATACACTTTGAACATTTAAGTGGAGAAGAATTTTGAAAATCCTTCTCACTTTCTCAAATCAAAACTTTCGGCCATGATGATTTAAAAGGATCAAAAATAAATCATTGACACAGTGAAGTTAATTTTAACCTTTAGCTTAATGACAAATTTTAATAAATCACTTTGTAATCATTTTTTGATTACACGGCACACATTGATTATAAAGTGGGTATGTGAAGATTTCTTTAATCAATGGAATGGTGTATTTCGGCCATAATATTTTCTAGTGAGATAAAATTCTTTTGTGTTCCATTAATATCATTTTGTGTATAGAAAATATCAATAATATTTTGTAAATATTATTAGAAATATTTTCTATAGAAATATACAAGATTATTATTATCCCAAATTTTAATCTTTATATTTTATACTACTATAATCTTTACTAGCATAAAGATTGTGGTAGACTCCGGCGTTGTTCATGTGTCAAAGTTGGAGATCGGACGCTTGAACGGTTACGTTTGCACTTTCAACGCTCTTCCTACGACTTCTTCGTTTTTACCGCTTACGGAGAAAGGTATAAATTTTTTATTTACTACAAGTTTTAGTACGTGATTCTGGGCTAGATAATCATGTTAGGATGTTAAAAATTTTGTATTCCGCTCCCTATCCTTGCATGGTTACCTTTCACATACACCATTCATAACAATCATACATCACATGTAAATAGTTAAGCAAATACCGGGCGAACTGTGCTCGCCCCAGACCTAGTTTATTCTACGAGAAAATAAACTATAATTCTAAAACAAATAATTAAACTATCAAATAATTTAATTAAAAATATTTTAAAACTCCAGAATATTCAAAACACCATTTTGAAATTTCCAGAATTTTAAAATAATATATTATCGTAAATATAGGTACTAATTTCAAAATTGGGATTTTAATTCAAAATAAATACTTATACCTTTCGAAAATTAATAAATATATTCAAGAATGTTTGCTTTGATTTATTTAATCTGAAAATTAAATTTTTAGAATTCAAATGTTTTTATTTTCGGACTTTAAATTTTAATTCTAATTAAATCTAGACATTAGTGATAAAGGGAGGTATTGTTGCAATGCACATTATGTTTATAACATGGGAAGCGATAATGTGTTTCTAGATACGGGTTATCGTTTATATTATTAATTGTGATTAATACTATTGCCATCGTTATGAATACGTAGAAGGGTCACAAGCATTAAACAATTGAACGAAGTAGAAAATTAAATGGAATGATGTAAAGTAATATGGGGCGTGTGACGTACATATTAAATAAATAGGTTGACATTTTAATTATGTGATAATTAAGTTTGTCAAATATTATGTATGAAATTATATATATATATATATATATATATATATATGTATATGTATGTATATATATATATATATATATATATATAAAATCTCCCTAATTTATATAAGGCTCTAAGGGAGTTACCTTGGACTCTTTTCCGTCTACTTCCGTCTGTTTTCTTCGTTTCTTTTTCTTATTGGTCGTTCTTGCCGCTAGGGGTGGGCATGAAATCCGTTCCCGTTAGACCGTCCCGAAAAATCCTGGATCCGTTTTGTAATTGTACCGATATATTGGGACACAATTTTTTTGTCCTGAACCCGTTCCGTCCTAATATCAAATGGGACATGAGCGGGACAGCTTAAATTTATACCGATCCGTCCCGTTTGTCCTGTTTCATCTACTCTACTAATATATAATACTAATTCTAGTCCATAATCTAAATATACTCATTCTTTATTTAATTAGTTATTTTATTAAATTAAATTCATGAGCTTAAAATTTATTTGGACCCGTTCCACTCATTGTTTTTTATTGGATGGCTGGATGTTTCTTTTTTTTTGAATGAAATGTCACTCTCTTCCCCTTCTTATATATGCGATTAGGACAAAGTAGGACGACTCGAATTCGTCCCGTTTTGTTCCGATCCCGAATTGTATGCGACAAACTGGGATTAGATTGTAATCTGAACCATTCCGGACTGTTTATATATAACGGGACAAGACGTGGGACAACCTAAAATCCGGACAGTCCCGATCCATGCCCACCCCTACTTGCCGCCCACCACCCCACCACATCAGGTTTTAATTCATTTTTCTCCTTCACTTTGCTCCTGTGCGATTTTCCTCTTCAATGTCCTCTTCCCACTTCAGGTTTTAATTCATTTCTCTCCTTCACTTTGGTCATACGGAGAATCTCCCACCTTTGCGGAATTTCTCTCCTTCAAGCGATTTTCCTCTTCAATTTCCAGGTACTTTGCAGAATCTCCCTCCTTCTTCATAATCTTCAAAAGCTGCGCAATCTTTGGTTCTTGACTTCCAATTTCAGATTCTTCAAATTCACAGCTTTCACCCAATTTTTAATACACATTCAATTTTTATGAGTTCAAATTCACAGGTTTCTGTGTTCAAAAATTTTCGGACTATTCAATTTTTTTAGACTTCAAATTCATAGCTATTTTTTGTTAGTCATTTTAGTCGTTGTGCCCACGCCTTAGAGGGGGGGGGGTGAATAAGGCGTTTGAAAACTTTTCGGAGTTTAATAAAAACGGTCTTGGCAAATGCGGAAGCAATATATAAAATGCAAAAATAAAAGCGTAAATAAAATGCACACCGAATTTATACTGGTTCGGGAACTCCTTACTCCAGTACCTCGAGGCTCCTCCTCAAGGATTTCCGAATCCACTAAGTCTCGGTCTCTTGAACTCCGTCAAAGCACCGTACTAGTTTGGCAAACAACCCTTGCCAATAGGATTCACTCTGAGATTTCACCACGGCTATCTCGAACCGTTTACAATGAAGATTTAACAGCTATCTTCTACCGTTCCCCCAGGGATTTCAAAGGCTATCCTTGAACCTCTACCCAAGGATTTATACGGCTATCCTTAACCATTACAACGTGAGAATTTAACGGCTATTCTCGACCGTAAGAAGGTGTGTTTGAAAAACACAAAAGAGGATTCTACACAACGGCTAGAATATAAAAATGAAGAACAAAACTTAGCCGGTGTAGAAAGAAAGTATACTCTCTCAAAAATATAATTCAAACTTAAGAATATGAGAGTATATAACTAGAAACACAAGCTCAAAGTGTGTGTGTAAAAATCAGGAATTTAAGGCTCTTAAAATAGCCAAAATATTGAAAATAATTAATAAAAGGATGAACACACTTAGCATAAAAAGAGAGGATGTTTAGAGCTTTGTTTCTTAAATAAATATGAAGGATTATGCTTATATTTATAGTGGAAGATGTTAGTTAGCCGTTGGGAGGTGATTAGGGTTGATTTAATTCAAAATCTCAAATCAGGAATAGTAACCCAACGGTCACGGTAGGCCGGTACCGTTCACACGGTAGCATGGTACCGTGCATACGGTAGGGGGGTACCGTGAGTGGCGGTACCTCGGTACCGTGTAACACCAAAAATCCATTCGGCTCTGGCGGTACCTGGTTAGGACGGGTTGGGCCAACCGTTTAAGCCTACCGTCCGGTACCTAGGTACCGTTACATGGTATGGGGGTACCGTGTAGGCGGTATACCCTACCGTTTTGGGTACCGCTAGGGGTACCATGCCACTGTCCTGATTTTTCCAAAATTCCCTTAATCCTTCGTGTTTGAGTTTAAAACCTTTTAGATGTTTGAAAATGTTTATGGGATGGTTTTAAAAATATTTTGTGAGTGCTTTTGAGCTTGTGAATTTAGGTATATAAAGTCATATCCTTTCATTGGTTTCTACCTATATTCTACGCTAGTTTAGTGTTTCGACTTCATTCTTGAGTACCGAATCTTAATGGATTCTTGTTTTACGTGAAACACTTAAACAAACGTTAAACTCTTATATTGTTTGTTAACATCAAAACATGAGGCTTAGCAAACCAAGGCTAACAATCTCCCCCTTTTTGATGTTGACAAACAATATACTTCAAAGTGAGTTAGGCGGTAGTAAAATAATGAATCAAGCAAGCTCCCCCTAAGAATAAGCATATTGAAAATACTTGCTTTGAACTTTTTCTTGTGTTTATTAAAAGTTTAATTTTGATGCAAATAGTTACACAAGAATGCACTCAAGTCAAGTTGCATATGCACCACTTTGAAGTATACATCTTCTCCCCCTTTTGTCAAAATAAAAAAGGGTATTTTGAAAATTTGAACCATGTGTAACTTCTTGAAACCCCCCCTATCAAAATGAATTTTTAGAAAAAATGATAGTTTTGAGATCATTGGGCAAAATGTGCATTTACAACAAAACTCCCCCTAAAAAACGAAAACTCTCCCTAAAATGATGCAAGTTTAAAAACTTTATTTTTTCAGGGGTTTTAGGGATTATTTTCTAAAAAGCATGATTTTAAAGATGAAAAAAAATTATTTAATCATGCAAACCAAGGCTAAAGCAAATAAAAGTACGTATGAGATAAGGTTTTATTTTTGAAAATAATTAAAACAAAACAAAATATCTTATCCCAATAAGTGAGAAGAATTTACCTTGGCATATGCCGCTCTTTTTTCGGCTTTTTATACGTTTCTTTCCTCTTCACATACTTCTTCCATTTGAGGAAATCCGTATACTTCTTTCTTATTGCCTTTTCTTCGTCTTCTTCATCATCCGACTCTTCCGTAGAGCTTGAGTCACTTGAATCATCACTTGATTCACTTGACTCTTCACTAGACGAGTCTTTTGAAGCTTTGAAGGTGTTGGTAAGCTTGGGATTTTCACGCATTTCTTCCTCTTTAATCTTTCTCAACAAAAGTTCGTGAGAACACAAGGAAGACCAAATGTGGGCGGTTTCGGCCTTATCACATTTGGGTAATAAATCTACAATACTACTATGCCATTCTTTAGGTAAAGAAAATAGAATTTTCGCATTAAGCCAGGAAGTAGTATACGTCTTACCCAACTTACTCAATTTGTTAACAATCTCGTTGAACCTCTTGTTCATGTCTTGGATTGTCTCACTTGACTCTTTCTTGAAGGATTCATATTCGGAATTCCCAAGGGCAATCATCGTTTGCTTAGTTGAGACGTCGCCTTCATGAGTAGCTTGTAGCAAGTCCCATACCTCCTTGGCCGTTTTACATGAGCATACTCGTGCAAATTCATCGGGGCCGAGAGAGCAATGGAGGATGTTGATTGCCTTTGCGTTCATTGATAACTTTCTCTTATCTTCCGACGATAATTCTGCAAAATCACCATTACTCGGCACAAACGGCCCATGAAGTACATTCAACCATAAATCAAAATCAATAGATTGAATGAAGTATTCCATCCGCATTTTCCAATAAGAATAGTTTTGGCCCTTGAAAAACGGAGGGCGGTGGATCCTTTGGGAATCCATTTGAGCCATTTTTTAAATAAATTTGAATTTAAAGAAAATAATAAAATTTTGAGTTTTTTTAAAATTCAAATTTAAAAAGGACACAAAAAGTGGATCTTTGTCGTAGATGCGGTTAAGCACTTTTCACTACGAAACTGCTCCGATACCAATTGTTAGTCGGTTTAGACGTTGTGCCCACGCCTTAGAGGGGGGTGAATAAGGCGTTTAAAATCTTTTCGGAGTTTGATAAAAACGGTGTTGACAAATGCGGAAGCAATATATAAAACGCAAAAATAAAAGCGTAAATAAAATGCACACCGAATTTATACTGGTTCGGGAACTCCCTACTCCAGTACCTCGAGGCTCCTCCTCAAGAATTTTCGAATCCACTAAGTCTCGGTCTCTTGAACTCCGTCAAAGCACCGTACTAGTTTGGCAAACAACCCTTGCCAATAGGATTCACTCCGAGATTTCACCACGGCTATCTCGAACCGTTTAAAATGAAGATTTAACAGCTATCTTCTACCGTTCCCCCAAGGATTTCAAAGGCTATCCTTGAACCTTTACCCAAGGATTTATACGGCTATCCTTAACCGTTACACAAAAGAGGATTCTACACAACGGCTAGAATATAAAAATGAAGAACAAAACTTAGCCGGTGTAGAAAGAAAGTATAATCTCTCAAAAATATAATTCAAACTTATGAATATGAGAGTATATAACTAGAAACACAAGCTCAAAGTGTGTGTGTAAAAATCAGGAATTTAAGGCTCTTAAAATAGCTAAAATATTGGAAATAATTAATGAAAAAATGAACACACTTAGAATAAAAAGAGAGGATGTTTAGAGTTTTTTTCCTTAAGAAATATGAAGGATTAGGCTTATATTTATAATGGAAGATGTTAATTAGCCGTTGGGAGGTGATTAGGGTTGATTTAACTACAGAGGCTGAGTACATAGCTGCCGCCGAGGCAGCAAAAGAAGCTGTTTGGATCAAGAAGTTCATTACTGAACTTGGAGTGGTTCCTAGTATTAATGACCCTATCTCGTTGTTTTGCGACAACACTGGGGCCATTGCATAGGCAAAGGAACCGCGATCTCACTAGAAAACCAAACACATTGTACGACGCTATCACATCATACGAGAAATCGTAGATAGAGGAGATGTGATGATTTGCAAAGTAGATACTGACGACAACATAGTCGATCCCTTGACCAAGCCTTTAGGAAAGCTAAAGCATGAGGGTCACACTAGGTCCATGGGCATTCGACCGATGCCAGATTGGCCATAGTGCAAGTGGGAGATTGTTGGAGTTGTGCCCTGATGGCCAACTGTTTATCATTATTCTATCATCTATAGGCAGATATAATATGTTTACACATCTCATGCTAATGTAAACAAATATTATATTCCTAGATTTATATTTAAAGATGTTTATCAGATAGTGTTATTCT